GGATGGGGGAGGCTGCTTCGCAATACTGTGTTGTCGGATTGAGGTGCGAGGCGGCCAAGGGATGATAGTACATTAACCATTTATTGCATCCATCTGTGAGGAGCTTTGCGTGTGCTACCCCTTCATATTGTGGGTTTTCTGCAGACACTCCAGTTTCCTTCCACAAAGTTAAACACTCAGTAATGGAATTGGCAAAACATCGCAATGCAGGGATGTTTGGCCAATTTTGGACAAATCGACCTGAAGGTGAGACTTTCCTGGATAAACGAAGGAAGGGCATTATTTTTATTACTACGTGAACACAGACTTTACAAATGTTCGTAAAATAAATTGTTCGTGGTCTTTAAAATTTGTTTGAAAACACATGACGAGTTGTGCTCTCTAGCTCTATGTTTAGTTCACAAATGCACTGGTACTGCTGTCAAGTGTTGACCCAGGTTATCCTTGCAAAATAATCCTGAAATCTCAATGGATTCTCACCTGGTGCGGAAAAGTTTATTGCTTTGTTATTGAGTGGGGGGGGGGGGGGGGCAGTAGCGCAGTGGTTAGCGCTCTTACGCAATGCCTCAGGCGACCTGACTATGATTCTTAGCTGCAACTAATACTGGTAGGAACCTCCTGGTTACACCAGCCCACAGGAGATTATTGTGTCCGTCCGTCGTGCATCCAAAAATGGGAGTCGTGGGGCTGGGTGGAGAGGGGAGGGTGTGGGGACGGGCTGGGTGGGGAGGTGCTGGGTAGGGAGGGTGGGGAGGGGTTGGGTTGGGAGGGGCTGGGTGGGGAGGGTGGTGCTGGGTGGGAGGGGTGGGGCTGAGTGGGGAGGGGCTGGTCACCTCGTGGTGCCCTTATAAAACTCAACGTTTCACCTACTCACGCCGGCTTGTGCCCGCCCTCACAGTCGGCCATATTTGCGGAATACACCACGCCGCCGTTGACCCTGGCCATTGACCGAGCAACCCAACGTTCCTACCAGCTCCCTCCGCAGGATTGTGTTTTTAGTGGTGACTGATAACTGATCCAGTCCCCCCTGCCCTCTCCCAGCAACCCGCACCAAGCAGTGTAGTCAAGTCTGGTCAAACAAACGCTCGTGACTGAATCGAAATGGGGAGGCCTGCATTCAGTAGTAAATTGGTTGTGCATTATCAATTATTTACTCTACGATTATGCATCGGATTGCGAGTAAAAGTTACCTGCAGTGTTTTGATTTAACTGGCTTGCCTTGATGTTTGTGTTTTGACATAGCATCCGTCGCAAGTTCTTTGTATGAGACAGAGTGTCATATCTTATTCACTTACAAATTGTGACATTCAAACCTGGTGTATTAACTGATATATACCAGCTATCTCTTTCATCCAGTTTCCGGATCTGGCGTTAATTTTTCCTGAAACGGACGCTTGATCGCAGCATGCGAGCCGACAGTCTTTGCCAATTTTTATTTCAATCTCGATCGAGCTTTTTTGGTCCCACTCCACGTCTTTATTTTTTATTTTATTTTATTTCCCCCCTAATACAATCTTTTTCTTGCCCACTATTTTTTTCCCCCTCTCGACTCGCGCGCAAACGGGAGCGTGCGGGGCAGTTGCGTGCAGACTGACAGATCGGCTAATTTTATTTTAATACTTTTCCCGGCGCATAAGCAGCTGGCTCTGATTGAAGCCACTCGGCATCTCACCCGGCGTAATGGGATGTGCTCGCGCCAGGGAGCGTGTGAAATCATTGCGGGCAGAACGCCTGACTTCATACGCGCCAATGACTCAGGCTGGCGAGCCGGCACACCACGGAATCGTAATGCGAACAACGAGAAGAAGAATACAGGAAGGTTTTTTTTTACTTTGTGTGTGTGTGTTTGTAAGTGTGTGTGTGCGTGTGTTTGTATTTGTGTGTGTTTGTGGGTGTGTTTTGCATGTGTGTGTGTTTGCTTGCTTGGATGTGTTTGTATTTGTGTGTGCGTGTGTTTAGATATGTGCTACGAACCCAGCGACCCATGTGTTATTCCCACTCATGGCCAACACCAGTGACTTTTATTTGAACTGGTCCTGAGTCTCCCCTAGGTCGACTCAACCTCAGCTGAGTACCTGGTGTGGGTGTGTAAACATCGCCACTAGGGAAACAAAAGCGGCCGAGTGTGGTGCTGGCCACCCACCCCCTCATGTGCCATATCGGCCTTCATTGGTGCTCCCTAACAGCACTTGCCCCTAAAGTCTGTGTAGGCTATACGTGGATCTTTATCTTTGTGTGTGCATGTCTGGGGATGTTTGTGTGTTTCTGCTAAAATGTATGCGTGTTTTTGTGCTTGCGTTTGTACGCACGTGTACATGTATGTGTAAAAAAATTGTGTACGTTGGTGCCTGTGTATGTGTGCATGCACTTATGTGTATTTGCGTGTATATATCTAAGTGTGTCTTTGAGTGTTTGCATATTTGTATGTGTACACTTGCACATGTCTGTGCATATATGTATTTGTACGTGTGTGTATTTGTGGGTGTGCATGTGTATATTCAGATTTGTGAGTGTGAACATGTGTGTTTGCATGTACGGTTTGTATGTACACACTTTTTATGCGCATGTATGTATGTGTCCTCGCTTTGATCCCTCTGACGTGGTTAAATTCCAACCGTGGATGAAAAGCAGTGGCAAATAGTATCTGAACCTGTTCTTGGTCACCCCTAAGTTGACACCCCGAGCCTCACATCAGCATCGGTGTGTAACTGTCAATCCTTTGGCAGATAAAGGAAGCTAGGCACGGTTCTGGCAACACCACTACTTTGAGTATCGTGCCTGCCTTAATAGGTACTTACTAATGTCACTTGCTGGGATGATCTATACAGCTAAACATGGAAGATCTCTGTATGCAAGATGTAGGTGATTTTGTATGTGTGTGTGCATTCCTAAACACACTTATTTGTATACGTAATTGCTTCTTTTTCGCACAGAAGGCAGTTTTGCTGAGACTGTGCGAAAGTTTTAGTTTTACATATTTATTTTTCATTTTTAAGCACATCCTCGAAATATTTGCATTACACAAGGGGTCGCCAACCTGCAGCTCTGCAGTCGGATACAGCTCTCTAAGGACTGCATTGCGGCTCTTCAAAAATGTAGTGTTTTTTTACCGAATAAATAAAAATGGCTGTTGTTTTGGCTGACCATGGGAGTCCAGTTGACAATGGAAGTCCAGTTGACAATGGAAACCCAGTTGACCACTGAAATCCAGTTCACCACGCGAGTCCCATTTACCATGGAAGTCCAGTTTACCATGGGCAGGAGTCAGCAACCTGTTGCTCCGAAGCCGCATGTGACTATTTAAGGACTGTTTCGTGACGTTATTTATTAAGGACCATATTGTATTCACATGCATTGTGGCTCTTAAAATATCGATTTTTTTTTTCTTCCGAAATCGAAAGAAACGTCTCTTGTTCTTTTGGTTGCCGACCCCTGCATTAGACCAAACCATCTGCACAAACCATAACGTTTGGCTCACAATCTGCAACCTCAAACTGAGCTTTGGATAATTATCAGCTTACTCTAGTTTGCATCGTCACCGTTAGTCTTTATTTTGTCCTTAAATTACTTGTGATTGAATTCTAACATCTTTCCCCGTACGTGTGAGCATTTGTAAGCCTCTTTAGCCGTGTAGTTCTTGCGAAGGCTTTTCGTTTTTTGCAAAAAATAACATAGTGTGGATTTGTTTTGTTTCTTTCAACATTTTCAACTGTATTGTTGTGAGTGTTATTTACAGTTTGAAAATGTTCTGGTTTAATTTAACTGCGTAAAAGAGAGCCCTTTTTCTTAATTGGTTCTCAAATCAAGTGCAAATTGTCATAATACCTGCTAAGTGTTGACACATTTGTACTCTCACCTTATTTCAAGGTTAAATAACTTAAGTGAAATAAATACTGAAAGTGGCCATGGTGGCGCATGCGTGTAATTCACCGCCGTGCGGGCAGGGCTGGTGGATCACACACATAGACCCGGGTGCCTGTAGAAGGCAGTACAGCAAGTAGGTTCACATCTCTCTGTATGCAGGGCTTTTGTCTGAGCACCCATGTATGTGTCCACACACGCACTAAAAAAAAAGTACGAGAGACATTCAAGGCAGGAAATAAGTATTGAGATTCAGCGAGGCTTTCTTTGATATGTAAAAAATACCGCAATAATAACACATATATAAAATATCTTCTTGGTTCTTTCGGTAAAGTCACGTAGAAGGGAAATAATAAAATAATAAAAATAAAACATAATAAAATAATTCTCACGGCGTTTCGGCCACAACACAAGCAGCCATCCTCAGGTGAAGAACAGGGCTGTCGGAAAGACAGCGTCTGAATGGGCACCACCAGGCTTGGCAGCGTATATTTAAGCTGCCAAGCCCGGTGGTGCCCATTCAGACGCTGTCTTTCCGACAGACCTGTTCTTCACCTGAGGACGGCTGCTTGCGTTGTGGCCGAAACGTCGTGAGAATTGTATTTTTTTAATTTATTTTATTTTATTATTTCTCTTCTACGTGACTTTATCGAAAGAACCAAGAAGATGAATCCCTGCAGTCACGAAAGCTTTAAATAGAAATATATATAAAGTAATCATAATAATATCTGCTTGCTTTGAGTTTTGAAGTTGCAACGTCACAACTCCCCACGTGCCATTCACTTTCTAGTGACAGACGCAAGTTGTTAATACGGATGAGAGAACTCTTCAAGGTTTCTTTGAAATAGAGCGATGAAATTAGCCCATGTCAGCACCTGCCATGAGATATGGCAATGGCTTGAAGAGACCTTTATCCGGCAGTGAAAAGATCAGTGCTGATGAAGTTTGTGACTACCTTTCTCCATAAAATAATTATGTCGACTGTTTGTGGACAGCGTTTTAATGAGATGCGGTCGCATTTAGATGCGATTTAAGTCCACATTGTATTTATAGTACGACGAAAATGATGATGATTGTGAAGGTGATGATTCAACTTTGTTTCGACCGTCTTTGTCTTCTCCATCTCTGCACGTACACAGGTTCTGGGCCGTGAGGTGTATACCTCCAACAACCAGCTCGGCGGCATCCAGATCATGTACAACAATGGCGTGTCTCACACCACGGCAGAGGATGACTTTCAGGGAGTCTACACCATCCTGCAGTGGCTCTCCTATATGCCCAAAGTAGGCAGGGCCCACGCCAGCACCTCACAGCACGCCAGCACCTCACAGCACGGCAGCACACACCGCGGCTTGCATTCGAGAGCGTCTATGTGTGATTTTATGTCAGGACTCATATCTCACGTAAGCGGTGGTTGGGAAGGGAGCGGTAGAGTGAGAGTTGAGGAGAGATGTTGGTGCTGGGAGTGGTGGGAGTTTAGTTATTTTGTACAGGAGCCAGAGTGGAAGTGGTGGTGCAGTGGTTCACACGCAAATTATATTTGTTGTTTAATTAAAATCATTCCCTCATGGCCATCTATAGGTAGTAGATATAAACTCTACAGCTGTACAGTTTTTTTATCTACTTGTTAGGACATATGGATAAGAAACAATGATTAGGACATTGACAAAGAAAATGGAACACAACTTCTCCAAAAAAAAAAAATTCTCCAAAAAATATGGAGAAGTGCATGCTTACGATTATAGTAAGAGACGGGAAGAGGGAAACATGGTTTAGAGAGTGTATGCGAGTTAGAGACGTAAAATTTGACTGTTAATAAGAGTAAGTTGGCTTCGACAGGACACATTGCGAGAGGGGAATGTTACCCGATGGTTGAGATTCACATTACAGGGGCAGTCACACAAGAGAGATGGAGCAATGAAATCAACTCGTGGGCTGGAGCTAGATGGTTTGTTGCTTCACAAGACCATGAGATTTGGCGTCGCCTTGAGGATGCCTTCCTTCAGTAGTGGATCGATCATGGCTGATGATGATGATGACAATGACAATGTATTTTACATTTCCAGGACTCCCGCAGCCCCGTACCCATCCTGCACCCCAAGGACCCCATCGACCGAGAGGTGGATTTCATGCCAACAAAGGCCCCCTACGATCCCCGATGGATGCTGGCCGGCCGCCCGCATCCCAGTGGGTAACGGGTCCCGCTTGGAGCAGGGCCCAGCAAGCACACAACACAAATGATCGAGGGTGCACACGTAAACATTGCGTCACAAATGTTGGCGAGAACCAGGGGACCCTGTGACCATGTGACCAGATCACCCAAAATGCTTCTGATCTCGGCAAATTTCAGAAACTAAGCAGGGTTAAATTTCGATTTAAAGCTTTCGTGACTGCAGGGATTCATATTCTTGGTTCTTTCGGTAAAGTCACGCAGAATGGAAATAATAAAATAATTAAAATAAAACAATCATATAATTCTCACGACGTTTCGGCCACAACTTGTCATTCAGACTCTCCTCGACAGACCTGTTCTCCACCTGAGGATGGCTGCTTGCGTTGTGGCCGAAACGTCGTGAGAATTATTTTATTATGTTTTATAAAAAGAATTTTTATTATTTTATTACTTCCATTCTTCGTGACTTTACCGAAAGAACCAAGAATATAAGCAGGGTTAAGTCTGACAGTGGCCACCACGCATAAAATGTGTTGTTGGCTGCTGCAGGGTTATGTGGTCAGTAGAGGGCAGTGCTGAAAAATCCAATGTTGTACTGTACTATGCTCCTATGTCCATAGCACCCCCCCTCCCCCCCCCCCGCTTAATCTTTGCACAGTGTGGCGAGGCCTTCATCCAGCAGTGGGTTGAGGAAGGACTATACAATTATGTTATTAGAGCTATATGTTTATATCATTTTGGCATCTTGCTTTGCAAACGGGAGTTCTGTGGAAATAATTGTTGCTACCCTAATAATGAGGCACAAAAATGTTATGCGCCAACTGACGATTAGAGGTATGTGCATTTCAATTCATTTTTACGTGATGAATTTAAACCCATACATTTTCAAGTTTTAAAGAAATGAATAGCTGCATAGAAGAGAAATGACCACACAAATCATAGTCATGCCCATAAATACTTAATGTAGTGTAATATAAAATGTAGTTTTATGGGCATATACACACATATATACCCATAATGAGTATATAAGATTTAATATATGAAAAACTATATTTGGTTCTTTATGTATTTATTTATTATTTATTGGATTAAGTGCATTAATGGTATGAGCTACAATGCTTTACTGTAAAAGAATAATAGGCGTGTGTGCATACGTTTAAATGTTGGGGTCTGAAAATAATTGACCATGCATTTGCGTGTGTTTTTACGCATACCAATTATATTGCACCTATCACATTGTAGACACCTCGTGGTGTTCTGTGCAATGCATAGCATGGTCGAAACATCCTTTTGCAATTAAATTTATAGAACTTAGAGGGAGAGAGAGGAATCCAGCCCTTAATGCTTTTGTTCTTAATCTGGATGTGATCTAGGTGCCCTGCCCTGATGTGTAGGTAGCGTTGCAAGCACATGTCCTATCCAGTGTACAATTCGCACGGCACAAAGGCAATCACGATCAGTTTGAAATCGGTAGCAGTGGTCTATTTATTTATACATTTTTCGATTCACCAAAACTGATTTGGGGGATAGCGTGTCCTTTGGATCTGTTGTGTCATTGGATTGTTTATTTTTCTATATGTTCTCCCCATGGTGCCGAGGTTAAAAGCTGCAAACCTAAATGAGTGTTGGGTTGTCTCGGCTATGATGTTAATCGGCCTCCGCACACATTGGACCCGCACCTCGGAGCTGAACTTCCCATGAACCCATTTATCAGTGACGGAGCCAGCCCAGGCTGATAGACAATTAATCCCGCTCGTTTTGAGCCGGCGGAGATCATAATACCGTGCCCTGGCATCGTGGTCCTTTAAGGAGAGGCAGATAACGCGTTTGTAATCACCATTAATCGTCGTTTAGCTTTTTCATATAGATGTTTACATATCTGCAAGTCCCACTTTTCACACTCGAAGGTTATCCACCCCCTGTATGTTGTTTTCACGATTAAACTTTCTCCCTCCGTTTTTAAACGTCGACGTTTACGGTGTACGCTTTGCCTCTAATGGGCTGGTTATGCCACACTGAAAACAGACGGCAGTTTAAAAAAAACATGTTAAATACAAATTTTAAGATGTAATTATTTTTACCCCTCTGTCTGCGTTATCGGTGGAGAGAGATATACAATTCTCAAAATCGTGTAACCCAGTGCTTGAAATTACACGTGACTGTAGTCTGATTAGAAAATTTTCAATGTCTATACCAGGGTAATAAATCCTGTAGTTTTACAAAACTGACTGAAAGCACGTAGCAATTCCATGATTAGCCTGCTTTCCACACAATCGGGTGTTATCATTATTGTTTCAATCTAGTCAGTAGGTAGGATTACCTGGCTCAAGCTTAGATAGCTATGTCGATAGATAGATTCATAGGTAGACCAGTAGCCATGATATAGATGGGCAATACGTTTGATAGGTAGGTAGGTATACAAGTAGATAGGTAGTCTGGAACATAGCTAGTTAGGTGTGTTGGTAGGTAGAGAGTCAGCCTAAGTAGAAATATGGATAAGTACACAAGTAAAAAAATCTATAAGTAGGCAGGCAGACATGCAAGTCGGTAAGTCGATAAGTGCACAGGTACTTAGGTATGTGACATGGGTAAATAGGTTGTCAGGTAGTGACGTTAGTAAGTTAGCACACAAGTAAATAGATAAGTATGCGATTAGGTAGGCAGGCAGACAAGTAAGTAGGTAGGTCAGGAGGTAGGTAGATGCATGAAATTCATCAGCTTTGCAATATTTGTCTCCTTACAATGCTCTGATTCGTCTGCATAATGTCATGGCTGGGTTTGAGCAAGTCTTTTTTTAAAGAGGTTTTTTTTTCATTTAAAATCAATGGCTTCCGTTTATTTTGTCACTTCACGAGAGAAGTCCGTTAAAGCCGGTGGCTCGTTATGCGGCTCGGAACCGTTTGCCTAACCGTTGTCATCGCCACTGCCCATCAGATCGGTCCTGTGTCGACACCCTCACCGCCGTCTCGTTACCCGAGCCGAAAATGTGCTGCGAATAAAAAATCGTTAACGTTTCTAATTGGGCTCCCTCACCACTTCCTTGACTTAGACACGTATCTTCAGCCGATTTTAACCCCCTCACGCCCTATTTTCTGCGTGTGTGCTCGACAGAACGGCACGTGTCGTGGCACCGTTCGCACTAAAGCGTTGATAGGCAATCGTTGCAGGCAACGGTCACTGACAATGTATATACTCCATAGGCAATTATGGCAACTTGGTAAAATGGCATAGGTTGATTGAGCTCTCTCTATATCTCTCGAGAATTAAAGCAGAGTTTCTTGAAAACTGCATTAAATTAACAGTCATTGGTCTCCAGAGCACACAACCTAGGGTATTCATGTGACGATCCCTAGGGTATTCACTGCCATCCCAATTGCACACTAAGAGGTGTGGCAATCGGAGGAAGTTCAAGATGCATACAAGAGAAGCAGTGATCAGATTTGTCCATATTTAGGAGACTACATTATTTGACAATATACATTTGTGGAGCAGCTGGGGGTGTATAGATGCATCGATTCATCAATCATGATTGATTCTTAAGCTCATGATGCATGCATCCAATAGTGTGTGTGAGGATCAATCTATATGATTAATGAAATCATATGCGAATAATATGCTAACTTTCCATTTAGGCGAATGGAGCACAAAACGGTACTTGCTTGAAACAATACAAAACACGGTGGCAAATACTGGGAAAACGAATCCACTGTGTAACCGAATCTCAGTCCAAAATTGTACAATTAATGGAATTACCGTGCGATGGGGTTTAAGTGAATCAGTTCATCCCGAGTGGCAACCATTGCCGATGACGATTGTACACAACGATTGCCCCAAAATTGCCCTAGTGTATCACGGCCTCGAGAGTTTGGGGTCGTGACCCAGACCGGGGTCATGGGGTCTGTGCTGAGTGCTGGGAGAGCAGCATGTGCAGGCGCGTGCGATATCGATGATTTGATAAGCTATTGACGCTGAAGAATTGAAGCGAAGGCGATATGATATCTCGTTATCACGGATATCGAATTTTTTGGGGGGGGCGGTATGTTAGTCCTTGGTCTGAGCCACAGTAATTCCCATCGATGCATTCAGCCGCAATTGGTGCCGAGTTTATCCACATTCCAATTTACTGTGTAATTTACAGCCGCATATATGTGACTCCACTGCTGGATGAAGGCATCACCGGGCCATGTTGGTCACAGCGTTTGTTTGATTGTTTGATCATACTTGTTCATCAGTGCAGTTAGGTGAATTTGGGTAGGTGGGATGATAACCCACACTGATTTTGATATCTCTCACCACTTCTCCAGCTGACGTTTTTTACAATGTATTATTTTGTTATGATCAAGAGAAACCTCTGAGAGAATGTCCTTTTGTATAGGGGTTCTTGTTTGAAATCTGTTTATTTAAAGGCTGCCTTTCAGGTTTGATCAACGCATTGACCGCGCGTGACCTCGAGCGCTCATTGTTTCATAAACTTCGACATTTGCATGACAATTATCGGCGTAATTTAGTTTAATCTGCCAGAATTTGATTGTTTTCGTTTTACTATTTAATTAACCGGCCATGCATTTGCAACATTTACATGATTGTGTAGCTACAGAAAAAATTGTGTTTAAATTAATTGTTATTTCATTAATGCGGGTGTCAGGATGCTGATGTGTGCCAACAGACGTCAGCTTATTGGCATTTAATTTGTTTGTCTCTTTAGCATCTTTGTCACTCCTCCTCCTCCTCTGCCCCCCACCCCGTGCAAGTTCAGACTTAAGACATTCCTCTTCACCTCCGCTTTATTGCTCCTGAATTTGATCCTGTTTATATGGAAGTAGTCTTCTCTCTTCCCCATGCTTTGCTATATATTATACTGTTTTGACCATACCGTATGTCATCCTCCATCTGTGTGTAACACCCCTTGATCTAGCAGTACTTAATAGTTCCACACCCAGCACGCCGCATCTATCATCCCTCCATGGCTGTCGCTGCCAGTCACGTGCCGCCTCCTACGGCCTGCGATTGTCCCGTAAAATATTTCGTGAGAAATTAAATGGGTGGGTGACACGTCTCGTTCCAAAACTTGTGTTGCATTTTTCCGGTTTCCGTCCCGTTTACAGCAAACAAGGAAACGTGGCAAAGTGGCTTCTTCGACCACGGCTCCTTCATGGAGATCATGCGACCCTGGGCACAGACGGTCGTCGTGGGACGAGCCAAGTGAGTCGCACTGTCGCTCCTTCTCTCCTTAGACCATGGGGGGAGCCCGTTTCAGGTTAGAGTTGAGTCCACTCTTTTTTGTCCTCTGGCACATTCGAGTTGTTGCCTGGGGAGGGGGGCTGTGCTGAGTCAGGCTGTTGTGGGTCAGGAGACACGAGTCGTTTCCCCACTGCAGCAACAGAGCCGCGTCGCTGACGTTGCACTGAGCGTCAAGACGCAGCTGACACGGTGAGGCTGTGCATTGGTTGACTCGCACAGATATTACATGCTGTCACACACACACACTGTTTTAGTGGCCGAAGGCTCTTGACTGGACACCGTTTTACTCATGTTCTTTTATGTCTGATAATGTTACACAAATTGAAGGCATCATTATTGCTGTCCCTGGCCTGGCTTGGGCACGAGCTAGATTAAGAGACCAGCGTGGCACAGCTTGATTGGCACTCAGCTAGGTAAATTTCTCGTCGAACAAAAATCCCCATTACCATGGTATACATCTGAGCAGAGCCACCACAGAGCCATATGTACGTACATATGTTGAACTTCATAATAAAGGTGTTTGGGTTAGATTGCGTTATTTATAAATGTGTCGTAACCCTCCACCACCCGACACGGCCAATCAGCAAAAAAGTGTCACGTTGACAAAAGACAAATAGTTCACTACTTTAGCCAACCGGTGTGTTGAAGAGTGAAACCACAACATTTACAATTTTTGAGTACGACGTTTCGCTGGTAATTGCATCCAGCATTATCAGGCAATTCGCCAGAATGGTGTTGTTACGTACGGTGCGAAATAAGTTCATCGTATGTGCATACATATGTCCCAGTGCTGGCTCGGCACGGATGTGCCAGTGGAAAAGGGGAATAGGTTGGCAGGGGCCTCTGGTATCTGGACCATGGTATTGTGGTGGGAGGCAGTGGGCAGAAAAGTGTTTTAAGGAAGGACTGAAGAAAAGGTAAGGTGACCAAACATAGTGCTTAACACATTACCTCCTTTGTGTATCATTCCAGCATTAGTAGATGCTCAGCATTTCTGAGGACCTTTGTGTGTGTGTGTACACAAGCGTGCGTGCGTGCCTGTGTGTTTGTTTGATGGGAAGATTTTTCACATTGTGATGCCTGTGAACATGGTTCGATTCCGAGGTACAGACTATGCCATTGGCAATTTCATTGTCTGAACCAGATATGAGCATCCTCTAGGTCGCCTCAGCCTATAATGAGGTGCAAGAGCATTGAACAGAGGTGAAACCAATTGTACGGCTTGTACGAGTGCAATTGGTGCCCAGCTGTACAGTACAGCCATGGCGTTTGCATTTGAAATTTATTCCTGCGATTTAACAGTTCGGCAAAAGTAAATATGCACTTGCAGACAAATACATAAATGCTACGTAAATATATAAAGAACCACGCCACAGACACACAGGCGCACATACATTTTTTCACTCCCCCACCCCCAAAAAAAAAAAAATCCCAGCAACTGAAAGTCATTCTCTTATCACGGCGCCCTTTGATGTGTAGCATTAAGGACAGCACTGCTGCGACTTGATAAAAGATGGGCGCGCATTGCAGCGTTGCGGCTCTCTCCGACTGCGCATTAAACCCCCTTTATCCTTTGGCTCGCCCGCAGAGGACCTCCAAACGGCGTCATTCGGAACGCATTAGGAGCCGCCGCTCAAACCGCGCCAATCGTACCCCCTTTGTGCGCGCGTGCGTTTTTAAATTGCCTCATCACAGGCAATTACCAAGCTGCTGCTGCTGCTTCCTCCTCTCGCAACAACAAACCCCGAGCCGCAACGCTTCTGTTGTTCGCCACATTCCGTCCCATTCCTATAGCCCCTGAAACTCCCTCGTCCCTTCTCCACGGCCACTGCAGTGCCAGCCACCTTGCTGCCTTTCTTCTAGAGACCTCCGCTGCTGCCGCCGCCACCAACCCCCTACCTCACAGACTCCCGCCGCCGCCACCATCACCCACCTCTCCATCCCTCTCTCACGTGATTTTGTTTTTCCATTTACTGCACATCTGGAACATTATCTCCGTTTCAGAGCAGATATGTTGGTGCTGTCTTCTCACCGTCCTTTGTTGCCTTTTGTGTGTGCGTGTGTGTATGAGTATTTTATTTTTTTTATAACTCGAGCTGTCGCGATGCAAGGTACGATGATGGCGGGCGGGTAGGCGGTGGTTGGGGGGGGAAATGTGGCACGGGCGATTTTGGCCATGGCGAAATTGCTCTGATTTAACTTTTCTTTATATATTTATTTCCTTTTCACGTAATTTTGTTTCTCTTTTCCTGGAGGCGAGGGCCAAAATTGCGGCATCATCATCATCACCATCATTGCACGCGGGGTGCGCCGCTGCCTTTGAGGGCCTTATTTCGCGTGAGTCGGCATGGCCGCATAGAGGCCCGCAGGTCGCCGTGTCAGCCATAATGGGGCCATTAACCCCTGTTGAGAGGGGGCCTTGCCTTCTCTCCGTCCTCTCCCTGCCATCCGCCTGCCGGCAAAGCTAACAGCACCTCATAGGGCTATCTTATTGACAAATGGGATTTGGGAAAATTTCATCCAAACCTGGCTCATATTATGTCTTAGATAGGTAGTTGATGTTTGTTTGGGTGGTTTTTTGAGGGGGGGGGGAGGGTTGAAAAGAGCTGAGAGAAGGGTTTTTGAGCTTTCAGTTGTGGGTGCGGCGATTGGCCATGTTTTTAGGGTTTTGATGGTGTTTCTGTGGTGTCGGAGAAGCCTGGGTCTTAGTTTGATACCGGAGTGAGGTGGTCAGCATATAGGAAAGTCTAATTAGTCTTAATTAACTTATTAGTAAATCCTGCAGTGGGATATTTATCCCATTGAATGAATGAGTGTTTGAATGATTGTGTGTGTGAGTGATTTGGTATGTGCACGTGTGCTCGTAATTGTGTTTGTATTTGTGTGTTATGTGTGTGAGTATTTTTTAGTTTGACTATTTGTGTTAGTCGTGTGTGAGTGATTGTGTGTGCATGCATTTTTGTGTGAGTGATAGATGGGGAGCAGTAGTGCAGCAGTTAGAACTCTGCACTATGAACGTAGCAATCTGAGTTTGAGTCCCGCTTATGGCCAACACCAGTGACGATTATCTGAACCGGTCCTGGGGCTCCCCTAGGCTGACTTAGCCTCAAATGAGTACCTAGTGCAGTGTGTAAACATCACCACTGGCAAAACACAGGCGATCAGGTGTGATGCTGACCACCCGTGCCCTCATGTATTGTGCCAGCCTTCATAGGTGCTCGCTAACAGCACTTTCCCCAAAAAGTCTGTTATATCAAGGATCTTTGTTTTGTGTTATTGATCATGTGAGTGTGTGAGTGAATGTGTTTGTATATTTATGCTTTTCTGTGCACATGCATTACCTGCCCATGTTCACAAACACATGTCACTGAGAAATGTAGATTAGAATTAAAAAAAACATAAATAACTCAATTTTGAGTACCACAAATTCCATTGTTCAGCACCCAGGTGTACACTGTGAGATGCAAACAGCGCACAATTGTGTTTAATAGTATTTCTGTTAAGACTTTGCACAATTTATAACTGTAACCACGGGTATAGTATGTACATAGATGCACTGTTATGATGGCAAGGCCACAGTTAATATCCCTACCAACCGACCAGGTGTCTCAGCAGTAGAGCAAGTGGCTCGCAATTGGAAGGTTGCGAGTTTGGATCCGAGCTGGCGGTTGACTCAGCCCATCATCTCTCTCAGGTTCAAATACTGAGTACCACTTTGCGGGAAAGTTAATAGTCAATTGGCACACTACAATAATGCCCTCACCAACAAGAAATCGGAATGTTCACCCGTGGCTCAGGGCTGTGAACAGGAGATGAGCGCTCATTTTGAGCGGGATACTCTCTTTTTCGACCATCTCTCCCACGATGCGTTCAAGGAAAATAAATGCCCTTGATGTCACCGTGCCCATCTTAATTAATCATACGCTCTGCCTCGCGGAGTTACTTTCTTGCTGAACACGAGCATAGTATTACGTGCCGTCAGCATGGACATGAGCATTATTCTGGTCCATCATCCAGCCCCATGACAGTTATAAATGCCCAACATTCGTAAACGACTGCAAGCGGCAGCAAAACGACAGTAGCGATGTGGATCTCATTATGTACAGTGCAATTACACAACGTCGCATATCCGACAATCATGCATCCATCCTGATCAATTACCTGCCCACACTCCAGTGCATTGTTTGCGTGTGGTGTAATTGTACATTTCTTTAGATGTTTACAGATCAAATTTTTCACACAGTAACGTTTTCTCAATGCGGATTTGCTTACGTATCTTAAGTAGGGTAAAGCATTTCCCCATGTTCAAAGCAGTTTATGTTTTACTCTTGTCCAGCCACCTACTTTAGCATGTTGCTGGAACTGCCATTTTCTTTTGACATTCACTTATCCGCACTATACCTCAGTCCCCAGGTATATGCGATATTGTCCGGTAGTTAGCATCAGCTGTTGGATTTCGTTGTTGGTGTTGTTGTAATTTGTTGTTGGCCATTCTGTGTCCTTTAAATTGGAGGGGGCATGGGGAGGGAAATAGCTGTTTTTGTGATGATAAATAAATTTACGAAGAGGCTCAAAACTCAAATTGTTTCCCTGCCATCAGCATAGAATTTTCTGTGCATGCCACTAAGCTTACAGTAGCAGTTGTTGCGGCTTGTACAGCTTGTATTGTGGGGAGGAGGGTGGGGGGTAAAGAATATTCAGGAGATGTCGCGCAACGAAGTCAATCTGTGCATTTTTGAGCACGGCATATGCCGGTTTAATTCCGTCAGCTATTAAAATTACATTTCCATTAAACCCACCAACTGCCTAATAGACCCGGGTGCAGTGGCACTGTGGAAGGCCACTTCATTGCGCTAATGCAGTTCATTGTTTATGTGACACAGTATTCTTTTTAATGAATTGTGTATGTGTACTATATATATGTGTGTGTGTAATGATATTTGTAGTTATTTTGAAAGAGGGAGAGTTGGCAGAGAACAAACTTTATTTACGAAGATTTAATTTGGCATTTTGTTTATTGTTATGTTTGCGAAAAGTAAATGAATACGTTTAGTTTCGCACATCATACATTGTACTTTTCCATCAAACTATTCAGAGTTCTTAAATTCCTTTTTATCATCTGACTTACGTGTGTGTGGTGTGTGTGCACGTGATTTCATTCTTTTGCGTCCCATGTATACCATCTCCTTTGTCCTCTTACTTCTTTGTTCTCTCTTACTTCTCTCCATGTATCTGCTTTCAATTGCCTCAATGTAACCTAACCAAAATATGTGCCTCTCATTAGCAGCAATCATAACATTACACCTTCAGACACAGGGTATTCAATGCATGTGGTATGAGAAATTTCATGAATAGATGCATCGTTACTTGCCTGATGTATACACGTACGTGTGCGTACGTGTACGAATGTGCTTGTGTTCATGGGCGTGCATGAATGCACAAGCACACGAGTGTGTGTGTGTGTACCTAGAGTGCATTTGAGGATGCATGCTCACATATATGCCTGTGTACGCGTAATAACACTTGTGTTTCACTATGCATTTGTGTGTGGACATACGCTTGCGTATAGCGTAGTGGTTAGCGCATTGCGCGATGAATGTGGCTATCCAATTCGATTCCCGCTCATGGCTAACATCAGTGACAAATATTTGAGCCAGTCCTGGCCCTCCCCAGGTCGTTGACTCAGCCTTAAATGAGTATCTGGTTTGCGATGTATAAACATTGGCACTGGGGAGACAAAGGCGGCCGGGCAGGCGCAGACAACAACACCCTCTCACGCATCATGCCGACCTTCCGAGGTGCTAGCTCACAGCACTTGCCCCAACAGTCTGTATGGCTTGTACGGGGGATCTTTGTGTATCAACACTCATCTATGCGTGTGTGTGTGTGTTCATGCAACGTAGGCTCGGAGGAATCCCGGTGGGGGTCGTCGCCGTGGAAACGAGAACAGTGGAGCTGGCTATTCCGGCTGACCCCGCCAACCTCGACTCGGAGGCCAAGGTGAGACGCAATCGCTCGTGCAGCCAGGATCACGCACGGGGAGGCAGCATCACTTGCACAGAGAGAGAGGGAGAGAGGGAGAGAGTGTGCCACAGGCACACATACAGCCCTACAGCAGCCCACCGGGGTTCAGTGTAAAGGTCACGATGCACGAGGGCAATTTTACGGGATTCTCGCTGCCAACTGCCACCAATACCGCACACTGTAGGTCAAAACGCTTCTCTTGCTGGGTCTTTCTCCTCGTGGCTCGACTTTGGAATACCCTCCCGTGAACTGTTTTCCCAAGTTCTCATAACCTTGCCGAATTCAAGAAATGCATTAACTCTTATTTATTACACCTTCGGTCACGCTGCTTGCTTGTTGTTGGCGGCTTGGCGTTTTGGACCTTCGGGTCTGTGCTCAGCAACTGATACAAAAAACTTTTGGTACGGCAGCGGAGTTTTGTCCAGCCAATGACAACCGGGTATGCTGAGAAGTGCATTCCACGAACATTGATTAGTCAACAGAACGTACAACCTCAGGTAGTCACGTGACTTTTCTGTCTGTGATATGATGGTAAATTGGCATTACAGTTTCCAATGGTACGGATCAGAAAATGGCACGGAGACAATTTATGGAAGCAATTGACCTCAAATTTCCCTTGATTTTCACGGTCTTTAGTTTAGCTCAGTGTTAGGGATTGAGTATTAGTTAGGGCTATGGGTTAGAATTTAGGTAGAGGATTACGGATTTTATCTTGATTTAGAGTATATAGTTAAGGTTACTGGGATTTACTGTACAGGTTAGGGTAACGGCTGAAGGTTATGGTTCGATTAAGGGTTAGGTCAGGGCTATCCAAACTGTTTTCCATAGATTTAAAGCTTTCGTGACTGCAGGGATTCATCTTCTTGGTTCTTTCGGTAAACTCTGTCACCTCGACGGACCTGGTTTTCACCTGAGGACGGCTGCTTGCGTTGTGGCCGAAATGTCGTGAGAATAATTTTATTATGTTTTATTTTTATTATTTATTACTTCCCTTCTACGTGACTTTACCGAAAGAACCAAGAAGATGTTTCCCATAGGTCAAATCCTTGCTGACAACTCATTTAATCCGGGCCGTGATGCCACTCAAACTTAACAATGACCTGCTGCAGCTTCGGAATTAAAATACAACTCCTATCTCACTCTGTGATAGCGGTCTTCTGAATACATATCCTCTCTTTTTCTTATCTCTTCTCTGAATACACGTCACTCTTATAGCTATATGCATTTATTGCATGTTTGTAGCCTGTGGATCTCAGTATGTTAATAATTTCAGCCATTAATTCCAAAAGTTTAGACATCCTTGGGTTAGGTATTAGAATTCGAGCTAAGGATTAGAGGTAGGGTTAGGATTAGGTATTAGGATTAGGGCTGAGAGTTAGCATTCATATGGGAGCCAGGGATGTTGTTAAAGTTCGATTTAGATATTGGTGTTTGGCTTTGGGTTAGGGTTAGAGTTAAGATCTTGGATTAGGGCGAAGGTTTAGGTTTAGCCATTAGGGTTAGGACCACAAGTTAGAATATGTATTAAGGTGAGGGCTTTTGTTAGAGTTGGGCTTAGGGATAGCTACTAAGATTAAGATTTGGGTCTGGGTTAAGGATAGGATTATGGATTGCGATTAAGGCAAAAGGTTAGTATAGGATACAGAGCTATTGTTAGATTTAGGGTCAGAGATAAGGGTTAGTTTTGAGGTTATGGTCATGGTCATGACGTGTAGATATCCTGTTATAGTCAGGGTTATATTTAGGGTTAAAGTGAAGGATTAGTGCTAAGGGTCCAAGTTGCATGAGTCTATTTGCCATGCTGTCTAAAAATGTATCTGTGCTGCTTATTGTTGTGTTTAATGTTTGCAAGCTGTTACATTTTCTCATTACTCTGACAATCTGGCTGCAAATTTTCTCTTGGAACTGCCGCCTCACTGCCAGTGCTGTCAGAACTCACTTGGAAATGAGATGGAAATCTCAGAGGAATATCCAGATTAGAATAAGGTTTTGAAATCTATATATATATTTTTTTTTATCTTGGCTTGGGTTAGGTGTAAAGTTTGGGTTAGAGGAAATGGTTTTAATTCTTAGCACTGGCATTATTGCAGTGTGCCAATTGATAGCTTTGCCTTACTTGATTTCATAGATGCACCACCACTGTGCCTTAATCTGTAGGCTATCTTAGCGCACACCCTTCTGCCAATTGTGTAAGGTTTAACATAAAAATTTGAAGTGTGAATTATTTTAATTATTTCTGGTATTAAGGGGCACAATCTGCTCCCACATTCAATTCAACATTCCCCCAACTCAGCACACTGAAAAATGTTGTTATAATTTCTCCATACATTTGCCCTCGTGCTTGGTCCCATCCAAGGTAATGCCCCTGGGGATGTGAGCCGGTACAGTTTGCGATAGTGGCTTGGCTGGAATTCCGATGGGCCAAGCCAGCACCAACCAGGCCATGCAGCTCGCTTTTAGCGGGCCTGGTGATTCTCTCATCGGATTCCTCCGGTATAATTAATAATTCTGATTCTTTCCTAAGAGAGCTGCACCCTTTCACCTGGGCCACCCTCTAGGAAAGTAATGAAGTCAAGAGAGAGACAAATGCGTCAGTGGTGTCTCTTGCTTTTGTACATTTCAGGACCATGCTTTTATAATAAAACATTTTCCAGAATTATTTTTGAATATCATATCATTTCAGGAGCTGCAATGCATGTAAATATAACATAGTCCTTAATAAGTAATATCAAGAAGCACTCTGGAGGCGCAGGTTGTCGGCAACTGTGATAGGGCAACCTAACCCCAAGATTTGCAGTCACTTCTGGCATTTAAAAATAGAGTGGATGGGGGTGGGGGGTGGGAATGAATAGGGAGTTTAGCTCAAAGAGTGGTAGTAGGAACACAGCGTAAGTAAGCCCGTGTTTATGAGGCCCTGTTTAGACAGGCGAAAACACGTACATACATAGAGAGACAAACACGAAACGCACAGAGAGAGACAGACACATATAGAATTCAGTGTTTTTTTATGTGACACCATCACCAGATGCAGTTTAACGAAACGCCCAGGAAGAAAGTTTACAATCAGAACCAGTTGAATCCAGCTCGGTTGATGAAGGGCACTTATTTGCTGTTGCTAATTATTCTTTTAATGTCCTATCAAACGGGGGGTGGGGGCTCTGAGCGATATTTTTTTTGGTTGTCACTCAACGTGAGTGTTTGCGTGTGAATCCTGCAAACCTATGCTTCACCGTGCAGCAGCAGCAGTGGCGGTGGCGCATATAAACATTGTTTGTTTCTGTGTATGTTTCTGGGATATTTGTGGCACATTAATAGCGTTGTTGGAGTTAGATGGATTGATTCAATTAAGCACCGATTCTAGTGGTGGTGTGCAAACATTTAGAGGAGGGAAAACCCTTCTGTAAATTGTCTAATAAACCCATCAAGAAACTCTAACCTAGCACTGCTGGGTCAATAAATGCCCAACAGATGGCAGCACAGAAAGTGGGCACATGAACCTATCTGTGCAAACTTTTGAGTGTTAACTTGTATCCACGTGTGCTACAGTTTGCTTCCTGCGTGAAAAATAGTCTTTAAGATTAAATTGGCCCATCATCCCATTGCAAGACATGCCTGCAAAGGCATCTTCAGTCACAGGCCTACCTGGATAAATCACTGACATTATGACATGAAATAATCATAACTCTAACCATAACATGTTTTATCTTCATGGCAGCACATAGCTTGGCTTGGCTCACAGATGAGCCATTGTTAACGCAAAATTTGTCTGTTGTTCCCATTACTGTTGTAGTGAGTTCAACTGAGTCGCAGACACACTTCTTGGAGGCAACACATTTATTAAAACCAACACATGGGGTACTACCCCTGAACACATTAACAACCTATGGTAGTGAACCACCAGGCTGACTGCACTAATTACACTGGAGTTAGCTACGACGGACCGGACCCTGGCCTGGGTCCCGGTCCACGTGTTGGTGACTCTTGTAGAACGTAGAACGTAGATTCTTCAGGATGAACAACAGCAGCCGGTCCCTCTCGGGGACCCGGCTTTTATCCTCCGTGGCGGGGCTGGCTCTGCCCTTGGCCACGATCACCTTCTAGAATCCTCTAGCAGGTTCTCGACCTTGACACGTGACCACCCCTAGCCCCCTCCTGGGGCCCCTGTGTAGACTTTACCGGTCACGTGTCCTTCGGGGTCAACCAGAGTGCCATGGCCCTTATTAACCCCATTCCCATGGCTGGCACTCTCGCACCCTATCCTGTAGGGGTCGGCACTGCACGCAGAGCGTGGTGCCACTCAGCACTGTCGGACAGCGCTCACCGAGCCCCCCTAGCGCCGGTACTGCACCCACATATACGTGGTGCCCGTGATGGCAATACATCGCACGCCGTGCCTCTTGAGAGCTGGCATTGCACAGTGACATCCGTGATGTCACTACACTGTGAATTTAGGATGTTCTGTAATGCATAATTCTTACTCTTACTGTAAACATCAGTCCCAATCCATAACCAAATCCTTGAAACTAATACTTATTCTAACACAAATCCCTTACCCTAATTCCAACAAATTAATGGTCAGTTAAAATGAAACCGTAAACTGTTGAAAATAATTTTCCACAAAATCATTGACAGATGAGACTGGCGATGAAATGGCAGCTGAAAGAGAGAACTTGCCCATGAGGATGAGTACGAAGGAGATAGAGCAATTAGAGATTTTCATGTGCAGGAGTGAGATGGATTATGGCTTCGTAGGGTGATTGCAGATGAAAATTATGTTAGGGAGGCCTTCATCTAGCAATAGATGACTGATAACGATGGTGCAGATGATAATGATGGTGAACTGTCATTTACTCATAAAGGAGAACCTCATAGAGCATTAAATTCTCCTTTTGGTCCTGCGTTGGGATGTTTAGCTGATCCCTGGACATGTTAACGCTCAGACAGCATTACCATAATTTCATTAACTGACCGGTTTATTTTTGCCGAGCCAGCCGCACGGCTCAGCCAAAACGCCCGGGTACAGGAGGGTTTCAGACAGAGGCGTTGCCATCTCCCGCACCCTCTTCACCATCGGTGTGTGTGAAAATAGGCCGAACGGACAGATAAAATTCAACGTTGGAATTTTGCAGCACCACTCTAAGATACCCACCAAACCTGTACAAACCCGAGGTTACGATTTCTTCTCATTTCCCCCAAGTTTATCCTGATAATGCAAGAGACAAAGTATATATATTTGCATCTGTTGCAAAGCAGTCCAACCTTTTTGCATTCGAGACAGGCCCATGGAAGCAGATATCACAGGGCTACCAAAGGGATCCCCTCAAGTGACCTCTGGTCCACACAGTATGTGGTATCACCATTGGAACCTCATTTGCCAGTAAAAAATATGATAATTGTTTTTTTACCCTTCTATCTGGCAACAAAACTGACACCTTTTTTTACAAGGAGTCATGTTTGCATAGACCACAATACCTGCAGCCATAATGCAAACAAAAAACATAACTCTGATAATATATGCACTGTCCTTGAAGTTGATTGGTCCACACCCGAGACAGCGTCTCGGTGCATATATTATCAGAGTTATGTTTTTTGTTTGCATTATTGCTGCAGGACAGTGCATATATTATCAGAGTTATGTTTTTTGTTTGCATTATGGCTGCAGGTATTGTGGTCTATGCAAACATGACTCCTTGTAAAAGAAAAGGTGTCAGTTTTGTTGCCAGATAGAAGGGTAAGAAACCAATTGTCATATGTGGTATCACTTACCCACCAACTGCGTATTACAGTCATGTTCGTCACGTGACAGTCGAGCTAGCTGACCACTACTTGAGGAACTCGGTTTAATCGCAGGTGGCTGAAACCTGGAATCTCAGTGATGCCAGCTCAGTCCTCTGACCTGTGACCTCTGAGCCACCCGACAGCCACCAAATAGACGAATACAAAACGTAAAACAACCCGCTGTGAGATTTAGTTTCGCCGGGGTAGGAGTCTGTTCCAAGAAGACTTAGCGCAGAGCCCAAATGGCTGTAAAGCTAAACGTCGTGTTACAAGGCTGGTTTTATTTGTGTGTGTGTGTGTGGCACCCTGAGAACGATTTTTCTGAGAAAAGCCAGTGCGATTCCCGATTGAGATTAAAACGGTACACGGCCTACAAGGGGAGTTTTCAGAAATAGATGGCAGGAATAGCAGTTGTTTGCACACAAAACAAACAAACACGGGGTTAGTAAGACTGCAGTCGTGGTGTTGGTGGTATTGGCTTGCTGATAGTTGTTGAATTCAGGCAAACCATTACATCTTATGGGATCTCAATGAATTACAATCACTTTAAAACAGCTCTTTTCCTTTGCTGTCAACACCCTGCTTCAGTTCAAGTTCAAGCGTAAGACCTTCCTTTTTCCCTTCTGCGTGTGACTGATAGTACCTTTCTCCCTATAAAATAAATATGCCCACTGTTTATGGGCAGCGAATTGAAATGCGAGCACATTTCGACACTATGTAAATCCAATTTGCTATGTATTCTACGGCTTTTGCATTCTAAGAGATCGTTACATTCCAGCGAAAGCCACAATGAGCCAGAACTTTTTCAGGAGCATTTTGCTTTGAGATTTTTTGGCCAATAATTTTTTGTTCAGTATTATTGTTGTTTGTGTGTGAGGAAACTGGGAGTGCCAGGAGAAAACTCCATGCAAACAAGCTGTTTAAACTCAAAAGCTGATGTGCAGATTGGTCATCAACATGCTTGCTCGACTGCCACGCACGGGCACCACCCCATTGCCCCATATGCCAGGTGACTCAAATACACAACGGCTGAATCTGTGTATGATCCACCAAATCTTGCTTCCACGAGTTGATGAATTTTAGGCGTGCGTCACCACGCCAATTGAGTCATGCAGGCAGAGATAATCATTGCATCTACGGCGGTGAGTTTTGAGGTGCGGTACAAGGGCACTGACATAATTTGAGTGGGATGGAGGGCACGCACGCATAGACGTGGCCAATGTCTGAAAAGGTCAAATAGTGCATTTATTTTGTTCTGAAGCGCTTTGTTGAATATAACCCCGTGCACTTGTTTAGTGTTGTGGTGGAGGCAGGTGATATAATTTTGACAATAATGCAAAAAAATATATATATATCTGGAAAGCCTCACTTAATACATTGGGATATTCGTCAAAGTTGTAATGAATAATTATAGTGTTGGGGTGGAGCTGCGGCACAGAGGTGCACACTCACGCTATGGAACCCAGTGACCTGCGTTCAATTTCTGGCCGTTGCTCGCATCAGTCGTGAGCGACATCCGAATGAGTGCTGGGACCCTTCTTCACCAACCCCAAGTGTGGCCAAACCACCCTCGTGCTCGACACGGTGGTTATTCATCCAGCGGTGGATGGACAGAAGGATGTACTTATTTATTATTGTAATTATTATACTTCTTCTTGGTTCTTTCGGTAAAGTCACGTAGACGGGAAATAATAAAATAATAAAAATTAAACATAATAAAATAATTCTCACGGCGTTTCGGCCACAACACAAGCAGCCGTTGTGGCCGAAACGTCGTGAGAATTATTTTATTATGTTTTATTTTTATTATTTTACTATTTCCCTTCTACGTGACGTTACCGAAAGAACCAAGAAGATGAATCCCTGCAGTCACGAAAGCTTTAAATCGAAAAAAAATATATTATACTTATTATCCAGGCTGAAGTCAGCTTAGATTACAAACTCTAACCAAATCAAGCACATTGAGAGGAGAGTCTGTACATTCACCCGTGCTGCTGGACTAACGGCCACAATCGTGTGTCCCTCACAGATCATCCAGCAGGCGGGCCAAGTATGGTTCCCGGACTCGGCGTACAAGACATCACAGGCCATCAAGGATTTCAGCCGGGAGCACCTTCCACTCATGGTGTTTGCCAACTGGAGAGGCTTCTCAGGCGGAATGAAAGGTGAGCTATGGGCAGCAGGCTTGTAAAACCTCTGCTTCTCCCCACCCCCGACAATTTGGTGAATTGCCACGAATCACTTCGATTCAACTATCGTTTATTTTGTCTTGTTTTTTTTTACCGCCTCTTCTCTTCATAGCTTTCACGATTATAGCAACAATACAGATATTATAAATGCAGTGCAAATAACGTAACAAGCTTTAAATTGGCTGAATTTGGCCTTCGTGGAAGTCGAGGGATTTTATTAAGAAAACGGATGCACCGGGGAGCATCGCAGCCCCTCAATTAGCCTGGTGTTTCAAGGACACACTCCATTGTACGAAAATTCTCGTGCCGTTTTGACCCGAGCCTTTACAGTGATGAGATGCCGCCGCCGCCGCCGCCGCCGCCCCGCGTCTCGTTGCGGTAGACCGACGACGGGGGCGGCGGCGAACCTCGGCGTCATCGTAAAGCGTGCGATTCACACCTTGAGTTGCTGCGCCGTAAATTAGGGGCCTCCGTCGAGTGCATGAGCACTCCAGTAAGGAGATAAATAAATAGGGGCTCTGATCCCATTGAGGAATGTGCTGCGGTATTGTTTTAAATTGACCTGAGTGACCTTTCTGAGCAGTTTGATGCTCGGAAATTAAATCAACGTGTCAAATGAAGGTTATCGCCAAACTAATTGCCAATGCAAACAGAGCTTTGCACTGTCAGTCCTGCGCTGGCAGGCTATTTAAAAATTAAGTGGATGAAAATTAGAACTTATTCCAATTTTTCACCAGTGCGCCGCGTTACGTCGCAAACAATTTATTAAAGGAAAAATAATAAATTAAAGGAAACAATTTTGGGAGAGAAAATAAAGAAATAAAGTAAGAGTGGCGTGCACCGTGCTGTTTGAGGATAGGCTGGGGACTGTTAGTGTTAGTTGTGTGCGTGTAGTTATTTATTGATGAGACGTTCGCTGTGAATTGGTCGTGACCTTATTTGAAGTTTTAAGAGGTCATCGCGGCCAATGCTATTTATTTCGCTACATCTCGCCATGGCTTCCTTCCCTCTGCCAGATTTCAAAGCAGTTGTACAGTCAACACCTAACCTCCATTGTCTGCTTTTACAGTGTTATCAAACTTATATAATTTTACAATAAAACTCCATGGTCTATCCACTTCTGCTATCTCTATCTCACCCAGTCTTGTGATGCCACAATTTATATCACTCGTGTATTTGAGTTTATCTCACCCATCTGTCTTCACATTTTCAAGCATTGGATATTGAATTGCTGCCCTTTGTCATTGCACTGCTGGATGAAGACCTCCCCATATCGTGTCATTCATGGTGGCTATTTGACCATGCTCATCACGCTGAAGTATGGTCAATGCAAATATACGGCACAGAAATGTGTGCACTGCTCTAGAACCTCGGCCCCTGAGTTCGATTCCCGCCAACAGCTAACATCAGTGGCACGGGTGCTACGTCTATGTATCTTGACACCCTGGTGGACACCCTTGCAAACGAGATAGATGTTCCATCTCAAGGGATTATCCAGGCAAAGTACGTTGTCAAGTAATGAATCATCTTCACCTGTTCAGCAACTCACACTAACCAGCATGGATCAAGTATCATCAAATAACCCCCATGACCTATAACAGCATGAGTGGGCCCTCATCCAGCAGTGGATTGACACAAAGAGCTCTCTACATGTACAACCCACGGGGAGGGTGAGGGGCAAGTGGGGCGGACAGTCGGCGCACCTCCGAGGCTGCGGGATTCGCCCTGTGCGCGCGTGTGCGTGTGTGCGCGCGCGCGTGCATGTCCTTCAGATGCCCCCGGCACCGCACGGCAAATAACTTGGCACATTAATGAGCTGTGACCGACAGGAGCCGAGCGGGAGGGAATGCACACACGCACGCCCCTGTGCGCACACGTGTGTGCGCGTTCGTACAATACTTGGTACACGCATGTGTGCATACACACACGTACACATAAATGCTGTGTCGTGTCTCGTACAGATATTTTGTGGAGCACGTACATGCATGGATGTACAAACAATACAAATGCAATGCAGATGTGCATACACACACAATACATGGCACACATGTGCATGCATGTGCATTATTACATGGTACATACATGCAATGTATAAATTGTGTATATGTACAATACACGCAACATTAAATATAATAGAGGCCGTAATCCAGCAGTAGATAGACAATGGTTGATGATGACATAAAATACACAGCACGCACGTTATTGGAATACACAGCAGCACACACATACGTGTATACAGTTGAGAGCACATACAATACACAAAGACAAAGATTCCCCGTATAGCCTTAACAGACTGCAGGGGCAAGTTCTGTTAGCGAGCACCTATGAAGGCCAGAACGGTACACGAGGGGGTGGGTGGCCAGCACCACGCCCGACCGCCTTTGTCTCCCCAGTGGCGATGTTTACACACCGCACCAGGTACTCATTTGAGGCTGAGTCGACCTAGGGGAGGCCCAGGACCGGTTTAGATAATCGTCACTTGTGTTGACCGTGAGCGGGAATCGAACCCGGGTCTCCGGGTTTGTAGTGAAGCACGCTAACCGCTACAATACCGCTCCCCACATACAATACATAGTATACACACACGCACATTGCAAGGCACAAACACATAAGGAAACGCGGCACAAATGCATAAACAACACACACTCAACTTGCGCAATTGCACACACTCTTGAAGCACACACGAACATCACACATTTGACATGCATGTTTGCACCCACACACGTGTGCACATGTACAAACATATGCAATACACATATAACATACATACCATGTATACACACACATATCTTCCTTTATAGACCATAGGGGCAAGTTATCTTCGCGAGCACCTATTTGGGCTGGCCAAGCACAAGAATAGGCATTGTGGCTAGCACCACACCCAGCTTTTTCGCCCCTGTTCACAAAATATAATTAAGGCTGTCTACCTCGGAAGGCCCAGTACAGGTCTAGATAAAATTTGCATATATCCCTGTTTGCTGAGATTATTTAATTTGGTTTTACACATCAGCTTTGACCAAAATATTTCAACAATATATCTTATACAGGGATGGGTTTATAATTCACAATATTTTTCGAAATATACATTTCGTGTTGGTTTTCATGATACAGGCAGGTTAATGAAATTGGATGCACTAAACTAGTTTATTTGCCCCAACACAAACAGGTTTAATACTCTATTAACGTTATCCAGAGTAAAAATATGACAAAAATGCAGCACCACCACCATCATTAACACAGCCTTACAAACAGAAGAAGTGTTTGGTTCTGCAGTGACAGTCACAAGAACAATGTCGGCATGTTGGACATAGAAACTAAATTGGCTCTTTTCGAGTCGACTTGGAGGGGAGGGGCAGGATCGGTTCAAATAATCATCGCTGCTGTTGGCGTCGAACTCGGGCCGCCGGATTTGTAGCATGGTCCAGCTTGCTAACTGCTGCTCACATGTAAACACACAACAACAAAGACAAACATCCTCCATATAGCCTTATCAGACTGTTGGGGCAAGTGCTGTTAGTGAGCACATGTGAAGGCTGGCACGGTACTGTGCCCGGCCGCCTTTGTCTCCTATAGTGGCGATGTTTACACACCGCACCAGGTACTCATTTGAGGCTGAGTCGACCTATGAGAGGCCCAGGACCGGTTCAGATAATTGTCCCTGTTATTGGCCGTGAGCGGGAATCGAACTTGGGACGCCGTATTCTTAGCGCAGTGTGCTAACCGCGCCACTACCGCTCCCGTCACACGTGGTGAGACATGTACACTCACGGAGACATACGGACAGACACCCTGGGGCTGATGGAGGGGTGTGCACGACCTCACACACCTCCATCACCCCCTGGGGTGGCCGCTGCCTCGCCCTGTTATTATCGGTACCACTGTGGTTGCTCTAGTGCCGGGCAGGTGGTGTGAAGGAAGTGGATGGGGGGGGGGGCACGGGGGGGGCACCCACCCCAACCCCCCATCCTTGTTGTGTTGTGGGATTTTCATGCTTCATCACCAACCTCCACCCGCCCCTTTCTCAGTGATTAGATGGATTGTCACGATTCTGGTCACAATTGGATTCAAGAATCGATTTTAGTTGTTGCCTTGTTTGTTCTGTGTCGTCTGAACTGTTCGTCTCGTTTGTACGGTACCCTCTCTCGTTTATTCTGTTTTTCTGTTATTGGCTTTCTTGTTTGTCATGGCCACGAGTTTAAAGGGAATTGTTTTTTGTGCATAAACATGCGTGAAACAAGAGTGTCGTCGCAATAACTTATACGCAAAATTCCATTCGGGTAGTGTGAGCCTAAGAATATATTGCAATCGATCGATTGATAGATAGATAAATGCTGAACGGTGGACATGGTGGAGTGCAAGGGCGGATGTATGGATGCATGGAGAAAGGAGGGCGGGAGTGAAAGGAGGTGGTGAAGAATGAAAGTGTTGAAAGGCTGAAGGGAAGTTAGGGGGTAAAGGGATGGAGGAAGGTAAGGAGTGATGGGATACAGCAACGAAGGCAAGGACTAAACGAGATGGAGAAGACTGGAGGGATGGAGGAAGGAAGGGGTGCACGATGGAGGAATGAATGGATGGAACAAAGGGTGGAGGGAGGTGGAAATGAATGGATGGAGCAATGCATGGAGGGGTTGAAGCAAGGTAGGGAGGGATGAAGGGAGTGTAGGGAGGGGAAGAGCAAAGGGAGGCAGTGAGGGAAGCAGAAAGAAAGGGAGGGAGACTGAGGGAGGGAGGGAGGGAGCCGCAGGGAGCTGCAGGGAGGCGGGGAGGGGTGGCGCCCTGGAGCCCAGAGCTGATAACGCCAAGCATCAATCACCGGTTGCTCGTGCTCCGCTTGCCTTATCTAGCCGAGCCAGACCAGTGGACGGTTACGGGCGAAATGGGAGGTGTGTGCTGAGGGGTGGGGGTGGTGGGGTAGTTGAGAGCGGTGGCGCAGTGGTTAACGCACGGCACGAACCCAGCAACCCGAGTTCGATTCA